AAGTTTATCTAGCCATTTTTGATGAAATTGTCAATACCTGAAACCTGATGTCTTACTGTTGAGAATCTCGTTTGCTGGATTATGACCTTCTTTCCTTGACCTTTAAAACCAGCGCTTTATAATGCTGAGACTCCATTTTTGTAAGTAAGACTGAAAAATTAACTGTTCCTGCTTTTACTTTTAATGCTATGCATATTTCTGCTGAAATTGTATTATTTACTTTCTAAGGCCAATTCTAGATCTTCTTACTGCTTTAAAAATACAGACTTTAAAATGACAATAAGCCAAACCTGGGTGGAAGAAATAGTCTATACTGTGCTTAGTTTTATCTTAGTATGTTTTAGGGCATGTCATGGAATTCATATTCACGTTAGTTAATGCTATTCATGAGCATCTGTCAGACTCACAAGAGTTTTCAGAGATGAATATGCATAATGTAGGGCATGAAGAACATTATTCAAATTGTTAAAAAGGAGAAAAATTAAAACTTTAAGGAATATTCCTAATTTCTCCCAGATTCATGTTGCTTCGTTTCTTTGGACCTCCTTTGTCACACGTTAGATGTTAAGTCTTAAATAACTATCTGAAATGAGGAAGATTAGAGAGAAAAATGCTTAAGAGGAGGTGCTGCAGTGCTAGAGATACCAGATCATTTTCTTCATCTTTTAAAAGAAAAAAGCCTAATTTTTGAAGATTTCATTTGTAAATTGACTCTGTTCATTGGTGATAAATATGCATGTTGGTATAGGAAAATCCCATTTTTTACATAATGCTTTAATGGAAATGGCAGTTCTATGAAATGAAAATGACTAGTAAAAATATGAATGATTCTCATAAGCCCGTATTACATCATTTTTATTGAGGTTTTTGTGTATTCTGATTCATTAATAGAGGGGAAAAGGAGAACAGTAACATGATTTGTTTCCTATAATTACCCAAATCGAATAGAATTTGTTTTCAATAAAATTCTTAGAGTAAATTGCCCAGGGAGAGGAGAGAAGGGTTGGCCTGTTTTTACAAAATGTCATGATTTTTACACATGAGACTTTGCTATTTTATCAATGATGTTGTTCACTTGCATATATTTTTAGTATAGTTTATTCCAGATTTTTAAAAATAAAACCTATGTAAGCCCAAGAAATCTCTAACACTTAATGGCTCAGGGTTGAGTGTTGAGGGAGAAATCTGGGATATTTATTTTATTCTGCTTATTACACAAATATCGTTTGTCTTTCAATAATTTAGACTACTTTTTAGGTGAACCTTATAGGCTGAAATATTATTTAGATTGCTATGTAATGGGTTAACTGGTGGAATTTCCAAAAACAGATTAGTGTTTACAGTTAAATTTGCTTTATTTTTGTGGAATACCTAGAAGAAAAGGTCATTGTAAAGGATAAAGACACTTAAACTCCCCCCCTCTGATGAGGCAGGGTGAGGAGGAAGAGACGGGAGAAACTGAGCTGGAAACAAGTAAGTGCTCTTAATTTCCTCACAGTGGAATCTTGCCAGCGTCCCTATTTTCTGCTTAGTAAACTTCAAACCACCTTAGAAAATCCTCTGTTTTTTTGGATGTGTTTGTGGGGCCTTATGAATTCTTAGCATTCTGATCTGAAGATGTTTCCATGTTCTTGAGGCAGAATTTTGTTGAAACAAATAACTTTAAGCTTATATCTGGAAAGCTTTAAGGCCTGTTAGTTTATGAAGCACCTTCAGGTTGTCAGTGAGAGTACTGTTTTCCCCCGTAGGCCTTATATTTGAAAGCGCACCCCTTTTCAGGTGTCTCACAGTTTTTGTCTGTTTTCTTCTCCTTTCCCCCCCCCAGCATTGTGGGGTCATTCGAGCTGGAGCTCTGCTTATATGATTGGCATGTAAGTCCTTGTGATTGGCACCTTTTACATGAGGGCCAAGGAATATATGTACATCGTGATTGTGCCCGTGTAGGTCTGTCTGAGCTTGTGTTTGTGTGTTTGTTTAATTGCTTTCTTTGACTCCAGAAAACTTGAGTTGTGTTTAGTTGTTCTTTTTTTCTTTTACCATTGCTGAAGTGATATCCACTTCAAGCAAAGAGACTTAATGGGAGATCAGACTTTCTCCATCTTCATTCTGAGCCAGACTGCATGTGTTGGAGAGTGGAAAAGGGTAGAGTCATGGAGAGCTGCTGCCTCCATAATCCCGAAAAGACTGCCTCAGCACCAAGTGTCTTTTTTCTCCCGAGAGGCCAAAAATTTGATACGAGGATGGAGCGTGGTCAGCATCTGGCTGTCCCTCACTGTGGCTGAAAATCCTGTTGGGCCACAGGGTACCCACCCTCCTGTGTCAGCTTTTAGTTCTCAGTAAGGAGATGACTTAGCATGTCAAGAGAGGGTTATGTGTGATGGAGTCAGTAGGCGGGATGAGATAGCAGAGGCCTTGCCTTTCCCCATGCCTGGCCACAGCTGGACCTACAAAGTGCCTCCCTCTTGTGGCGTCCAGCTTGACTGCCACGGGGCCAAGGGCAGGGCTTATTGGAAAGGTAAGCAAATGGAGAAATTCTGTCTAGGCATTTCATTCTTTTTTTTTGCGGGGGGGGGGGGCGCTCTGCCACGTGGCTTGTGGGGTCTTAGTTCCCCGACCTGGAATTGAACCCTTGCCCTTGGCAGTGAAAGCGTGGAGTCCTAACCGCTGGACCACTGGGGAATTCCCTAGGCATTTCGTTCTTGAAGGTGTCATTGCTCAAAGAATGGGAATAGCTTTTAGTATAAGTAACTACAAAACAATAGATAATCTAGTAGTATAATCAATCCTGCTATAACGCGGCATATGCGTTCCTAAAAATCGCCATCCTATACAAAATAGCACAGTAAAAACCATAGGACTTAAGAGGAGGAAACGAGGTTAGGTGCATAGCACTCAAAACCTTTGTTGGTCACACACACACAAAGATAGGAACCTAATACAAGCAGGAGCACAGTTTTGCGCACATTAAATGGCTCGGAAATATATACATACTATAATAAATATGGCACTTTACCTTGAAAAAGACCTGAAGTTTGCCTGTGGAGGTGGGCGTTGGAAGAGAATTGCAGTTTGTGAGGTACTGAAGCGGAGGAAGGAGGGTTACCCGAAATCACAGGGAAGGTGACACCAGGTGAGGATGGGTGTGGCCCCTGTCCCACACGGTGAACGGAGGTGCTGGTGGGTGATTGAGGTGTGTGTACTTGTGTATTTTGTGTACTTCTATGCCACTCGGTGCAGCTGGGTGCAGTTTTCTGTGATCACTTAGCGTTTCTTGCAGACAAAATCACACATAAGCAAATGTGAAATTCATTTTATGCTCAGATTGTCCCCATAATATGCACATCAATCACATTGAAACAGATTCACGTTTTCAAAATAAGCTTCTAGCAGAACTGGCTGTGGTTTATTTTATTGGAATTGAGTCCCTTTTCCTTTCTTTCTTTTCACCGTTATTGATTTCTTAATTTATATTTGTTAAGCCCACATCAGATTGATTTTTCATGCCCAGAGCACCTCCAGAGGCGAGAACGCAGCCTGAGATTTTAATTTTGCTAGTGGTAATCCACGAGGTACTTTTGCTCCTTGGTGAGTGACTCTCAGTCTCTGTCTCTGTCTCTCTCTATCCCTGCCCCCTCTCTCCACACACACCCCTTTACCACATGCCAGGCACAGCGCTGGAGATACAGAAACTGGTATCATTCTTGTCCTCAGGAGCTTAGAGTCTCATTGAAAAATTTTCAAGGCGCAGATTTAAACGTCTTGGTTGTGGATCTTCTTAGGGAGCGGATGAACCAACTTCATGTGTTTCTTAGTTTGTGAACACAGGAGCACACATACCTCCCCACCCCATCTCTTACTTCCTGTGAATGTAAAGATGGGGTAAAGAGCTTGCCTGGAGGAAACACAAAGACATCATTGATTTACATAGTGAAAAGATGTGAATTTGAAAAGGGGTTGAAGAGGTCCTAAGAGACCTTGTAGTTCACCCCCCCCCCCGATTTCTTGATAAACCCTAGTGGTCAGGTGTTGGAGAAGTCTCAGAGTAATGTAAATGGTATGATCCCATTTTTGTTAATCCCCCCTCCTCACTCATGTATGTGTGTACTGCTTGTGTAAGCATACGTGATGTGGAAACATCTCCCATATTGTGAATAGTAGTTACCTCAGGGGACAAGGGAAAGCTGATTAACTTCCTCTTTATACATCCTTTATTATTTGGCTTGTTTTAAGAAGCATGTTTTACTTTTTTAATTAAAAAATCTAATAAAGTAGAAAATGAATAAATAATAATGATAAAAAAATACCCTCAGGGTACTTTGTTTCAATCTTCCCAGTACCCTGGGTAGTTAAAGCTGAACGTGACGTTTCAGGGGTGGGCTGCCCAGCAGGACTCTGAACTTGCCATAGCCGGAGATGATGTTAACTTTTCTGCAGCGACACTGTGTTGCTGTGGGGGCAGTTTGTGTGTATAGACCATTAACACCTCAGCGTCGTTCTTGCCTCTCTGCTACTATTGGCACACTCTGCCTTTGATAATCATTTTGGACCCAGGTCTAGTCCTTTACATTCTCCCTGTTAGATTTCATCTTGTTATTGTGGAAATCAGTGTTCAGCATAGGTTAAGAACTGGCCTTGGATTCAGGCTGCCTGGTTCCAGATCCTAACTACTGCTAACTAGCATGAAAACTTTAGACAGGCAGTGCGTCCTCCCGAGCCTCAGTTTTCTCCTCCGGCAGTAATCATGGATCTGTGAGGTGTCACGGAGACACTGTATGCTAGAACACTCACTAGGCCAGGTGCCTGGTGGCGTGGTGAGAACCTGGTGAATGTTAGCTGTTACTGTTAGTGCGTCAGCCTCAGCTGGTCTCTCCCATCCATCATAATGAGATGGTTTTGGATTAACCATATTTGCACATCCCTCCTGACCCCAGACCATAAATCAGTCTTTCTTCTAAACGATCCTCCTGAGATCCCCAATCAATCTCTGTCTCATTCCACAGGTCCCTTCACCGACGTTGTCACCACCAACCTAAAGCTTGGCAACCCGACAGACCGAAATGTGTGTTTTAAAGTGAAGACCACGGCACCACGTAGGTACTGCGTGAGGCCCAACAGTGGGATCATTGATGCAGGGGCCTCTATTAATGTATCTGGTAAGTTCTGAGAATGAAGGCCAACAGGGTGGGCTAAAAAGGCCCCCTAGAAGTAGTGGGATCTCTTAAAGCTTGTATGTGCAGTATAGCAAAATAATATGGTCGTTTTCTCCCCCACAAGCCCCCGCCCTCTGATTGAAAAGCTCTGTGGGTCCCACTCACCTCTTGTTCTTCCATAATTAAAGTCTCTTTAGTTTAACGCTTACAGCCTTTGTGCCTCAATAGTTAGAGCAAAATTAAAGTGGTAACTTCAGACTTGGCTTCAGAATGAGTTTGTTTTTCACTCCCTTGAAATTAAATCTGCCCTTTGGCAGTAAATAAAAAAGGGCTAAACAAACTTAATTTTCCTTTGTGGGAGAAAGCTAAATGGAGTTATTTTCTTATTTAAGCTAAATGATTTCTGACATTAAGCTCATGTCATTTCCAGTGATTGGTAACTGCACTTTACTGATTGTGAAAGTGTAAGGGAGATGAAGGCTGAGGAAATTGGAATATATTCAAGGGGGCAAGTTCTGTGCATGTCTGATGGGTTTTTTCCCCCTCCTGTCTGAGAGGGCATATATTTTCCAAAGTCCAAATTTTGAAAAGATGCTGGTAGAGTACCCAAATTGAGAATTGGATTTTAGAATTAAGGAGATGTAAGTGATGGGTTTGAGTTTAAATGTATTTTTAGAAATGGAATAAACTTTTAGCTCATTAGAACTTCTGGATCCAACAGTGCTTTTTGTATTTGTGGAGGAGCTGTGGGGGAGTGTGTGTTAATCCTTTAAGTATCAGGAGACTGTCACAGAAGGTTCTGCATCATTAGAAACTACTACTCATTTGAAATGGGTACCTGGCTGGCTTTTTTCATGACAGATTTTGATTGTGATACATTGGGCTATTCATTTGACACCTAAAAGAAAATGACTCACCTCTTTGGAAAGATACAAGGTGTTTCATTATCTGATCATTTCTGCAAACTCTTGTTCCCTACATCCATTGGTCTCTCTCATTATGGTGCGCTCACACCAGCTGTCCCCTTGTGTGTTTGTCCCTGAGGCTGCAAGACCTGATTTGGACTCTCGCATCGGGTTATTATCCAGGAGAAATCAGGAGGGTGGCAGCCAGCATTTACTGAGGGTCTCCTCTGTGCTGGGCCTGCACACATGTCATCATGTAATTTCTGTTATCTGCCCTGTGCAGAATGCACTGTTACCCCCATTGTACTAAGAAGGGGGCCAGTGACAGAGCGAAGGTGTGGACCATCCTGTTTGGCTCTGATGCCCAGATGCTCTGAACTGCAGCATGCTGGTAAAGGAAGGGGCCCAGGGTGTTGGCATTTCGGTGTTCCTTGGATCCAGAGGGTTTCAGTTTTTCCATTGAAATCAAGGGCAGCTGGTATCTTTAATTCCCTTTTTTAAATTGACTTCTTTACCTCTTGATTTCCTTGCCCATGTCAAATTTGAGTAAGGTTGTCAGTAGATGAGACTTGGATGTTTTCACAGTAGACATGGGGCAGCAACATCGTTTTCTGAATAGTCTCAACAGGCTGTTGTACAGTGTAGGTGTGCTTTCCAATATGAAGTATAAACGTGTGTGAGTGTATGTGTATCTCTTTCAGAAAGATTCACCCCTCCCCCATCAGAGGAATGTTTTTTAAAGTAATAACGAACCCTGGGCATTTGTTTTGATTTATGTCTGCCTCCTTAAGGAAGACCAAGATTTTGTGGTTGTGGCCTTCCTTTTGCAGATAAGAAGGTAAGGTTCAGAGAGTGGGCGTGAATACCTACAGGCACATGGGTGATTAGTGGCCGAGCTAGTATTTGAAGCCAGGTGTCTGTCCTGATCTAGTGGCTCTTTGGTGACACTGAACTGCCTCAACAGTGTTAGGGGATGGCCCCACTTACAAATGAATGTAAAACAAAATACCTTGGCTCTCAAAATGTCATGTACTTGGGGAAAAAAGCCACTGAATCACAAAATGTCCATGTGTCTGCAGACCTTCCTCCTAATGAGACAAGATTATGTTTACACATGAGAAAGGCCTCCTTTGTTTTTATTTGGTGTGTATCGGTCTCAGTGCTTGGGGTGCACCTGGGTAAAGCCAGATTTTGTTGCATTTTCGGGACAGCCTCATCAGCCGGCAGAGACCAGCCTCCACTTGCTGGAGTTTTCCGTGCTGAGGGGCCGCTGTATCATTTATTAGACGTTCATGTCTTGGGGTAAAAGCACTGCGCTTTTCCAAGGGTCCTGTTAAAACGCAGCCACGTGATGGCATCTGGGTGAGGACATGGGGTTCCCGGGTTCCTGCGGGTGAGAGAGACTGTCCTCAGGAGAAGGAGGCGCCCGGCGGCCGGGCAGCGCAGAGGGCTCGGAGGCCGGCCTTCCCTTCCCGCGCGCACGAGCGCGCGGCTGAGCTGGGCTGCACCCGCTCTACTCAGAGGGCGTTAGAGCTGGGCTTCGGAAACCTGAACCGGGAAGCCCAACCCTGCTGTTTAGCCTGTCGGCTGACCTGTGCCAATACTCTAACCACCCTAGGTTCCAGTTTTCTCATTTGTGAGGTGGAGAGAATGGTATCCGCCTCACAGAGTATTTACCAATGCTGAAGGATTTTAACGGGAAGCGTGGTACGAGAGTGGGATTGCATTTTTCTTCCACTAGCTTTGACAAAAACTGGCTAGTTTCTGTTGAAGGTGGGTCGTACATATTTGAATTGCCTTTTTAGAAATAAATCAATCCTATACATTTTACTAATTTATGAAATTTTTCTAATTTAAGAAGACATTTTTGTTTTTCTTCTTTCTATAATATGCATTTGTTTTATAGTGAAAAGTCACTAGTAAATTTTCAAATACAATCTATGAAAAGGAGGTCATCAAATCAACTGAAAATACTACCAGCATTGCCCTGTCTACCACACAGAATGTCACAGCATACCTGAAAAGGACATGACTAGTACATTATTTTTTTCCCATCTCTGAAAACCCTTGGGATGTGCTAGCTGACAGGAAAGGTTATAAATCATTCTTTGAGAGAGGGGGGCAAGGAGGAAGGGAAAGAGGAGGAGGGGGATGGTATCCACCCATGGAGCTGGCAACACAGACTGAGGTCTGAGGGCACACAGATCAGGGTTTTGATGGGGGATTGAGACTTTCTAGCTGTCAGATGTCTTTCAGACACACCCTGTGAAACTCTTCTCAGCTGTCAGCTTAATCTGATATTCGCAGGACCTTACATTATGCATCAAAAGTCCAGACGCTGACCTGTCATGTCTTTTCTTCAGAAGATGGCACATCACTCATTGGGTCCTTAAAAAAAAAATAAAATAAAAACAACTCTTGTATAAACTCAGGTGGTAAAGTTGCAGTTGGAAACAGGTATAACCTAAACTTCTTGTGTCGGTAGGTGAAAACATGTGGACTTTGCAAAGGAGTGTTTGGGGATCCGGTCACTCGGGTCTCTGACTCCTTTTCTTTGTCCTTTAGATAGGTGCTCCTTGCATCTCTTTCTGACAGCCCCTTCTGGGATCTGTGCCTGTTGGATGAGGCAGGCAGTAGGTGGGAGGGTGCTGGGTGCTTTGTGTTTGCATTAATTGGCCCAGAATGCCATGGTTTTGGCCCCTTGCCCCTTGATACGCACCATCTGCTAGAGACGGTTTTGAATTATTCAAATCTGGACCTCAGCAAAATAGGCACACTTAAATGGAGATTGGAGAAGAGGAGATTGGATTTTTTCCTCTAGAGATTTTAAATGCAAGGAAAATAGAACTTTTTGAATTAATGAATTGTTTGAAGCAGTGGGGGGTCTCCATTTGTTCTAGCTTTACAAAATTAAATCTGTTTTCTGAACTGTCTGGTGGGAAAATATTTTTAAGGTAGATAATTTCTGAAAATGTCTGTGGTAAGCTGTTAGTGGTTGTGGATTTTTTTGTTTTAATACTGCAGTTTAATAATGAGGGGGTTTTCCATTAATATTCCAAACCATGTTTGCCAGCGGATACAGCAGGTGAAGTGGTAGAATTATGGGCCCATCAAAAATACTTACGCTTCCTGTAATATGATATTAAGTTTAATATTTTTATAGCCTTCACTGAATTCTAATTTCACTAAAGTAGCAAGCACGCTTCCATTTGCGGTTCAATTATGCATATTGGTTGCCTTTGTACCAAGGAAATTAGAAATGCAAAATATCTGTTTGGTGGGGGGGGGGCATTGGAAAGAGTCATTAAAGATACCAATATTTAGGCACAGATACACTTTACTAAGTGTACCCTGGGAATTGAAGATGAATTAAAGACAAACCAACACAAATCTTCTAGTGTCTGAATCGGTGTTTTAAATTAAAATTCAGAGAATTAGGGAGCAGTGTTTTTATTCCTGACATATAGCCCTTTTCAGCACTTATTTCAGTCACCTTTAAAGCGTAAAGTTCTCCCAGTAAAAGCCCGAGGACAGAGAATGAATATCAGCAGCTCTTCTTGGATGGGAACGTTGGTCAAGTAACGTGAATCGGGTAGCGCTGCAATTGACAATTAATCCTTTTAAGATTTTGCTGACTCAGTTTAAAGGAGCTGCTTGCTTGCCCTGGACCAGCCAACCTTGGGTTGCAGCTTTTAGGTGATTAGCGTCCTGAGTATAAGTGCCCTGCCCTTAGAGAAAGAAGTCAGGGATTCATCCGTCAAGTGCTGACAGTGGGAGCTCAATTTGGAGGTTTTGGCATCTGAACAGCCACATTCTTCTTCGATTGATCGTTTGCTTTGGAAGTGTCTGATAAACAGAACCTTTTCATAAGTGGTTTTCACGAACCAGCTTTATGACTCTCAGATAAGAACAACTCACATTCATACTTAAAAGATGTCTTTAATCTTTTTCACCAGATGAGATTCTGGTTTTTAAAAAAAGGGGGAAATTACCAACAGTAATTAAGCTTAATCGTGCTTTTAAAGTTTACTGTAGGGACTTCCCTTGGTGGCGCAGGGGTTGGGAGGCTGCCTGCCAGTGCGGGGGACCCGGTTTCGA